TTTTTAATTTAATTTAATTTATTTATCTGTAGTTCGTTCAATTCATTTAATTATTAATTTATTAACTATCACTTGAATGAATAGTGATACTCACATTTTATTTTTATGATTAAGACTGTACATCTTATGTGTATATCTCTTAATTTATGAAATTAGGAAGAAGATTAGGTTTTGGATTTAGCATATGCTTACAAAATTGACACTATATATACATATATACATATATATATATATATAGAGAGAGAGAGAGAGAGACATACAAACAATCACCACACGTATCTTGTTCGAAAATATTAGTGATAGTCAAATGTATAACAAGTTGAATAAATTATTGGCAAATGATGTTGGGACACATAAAACTGACAGTGGACAAAAGCTTTGGAAATTATTTATCAATGCACATACTATTATACTAAGATTTTCATTACACTTCAACCAATGTACCAAAACAAAACCTACCCCCATCTTTCCTCTCTTAATGCCAAAATTTTACTAACCATTAACAAAGATTTCGTTTTTCTTTCTTATTAAAAAAAAATGTAATTTTTTATATGATGTTGCATATAATATTTTAAACAAACATTATATATATATATATATAAAAGAATCAATAATTCTAAAAAAGAAAATTTACCCGTATAATATTTTAACAATATGCATGTTTTATTTTAAGATAAGAACCTAAATTGGAGCAATTTAATATTTCTTTTTATTTTGTTGTTTTTGGAGGTTAATGAAACAAGGAAGCCCTAAATTTGGGAAACGAAGAGAGAAGAAGATGTGGCCACGTGCGAGGAACATGAAACCGGCATCAACCGTAAGACACGCGTGGGTGTGCGCGCACCAAGTGTTCGAGTGCAACTATGCTTTGGCCATAAGCTTGTGTCTCGCCATTAGCCTATAAATCCAACCATAATTATAATTATTTTCCCTAATTAATTACGTTTCTAATTTCAGAAATCTGACTTTTATTTCTTTTAATAATTCTTAAATCATTAATCAAACGAAATTTTTTTTACTAGTATGCCTAAAATAAATAAAATTTAATTTTTAAAAATTAATTCCTAATCAAATGAAAAATTGAAAACTAAACTCCAATTTATATTATGAATATCTAGTTGAAAATATCATATAAAATCTATATCAATGAAGATTAAGTATTGTAATATAAAATTTATCTTTCATATGATTAACTATTGAGTAGTATCGAGTATATAATTATCTGAATGTAAAAAATTCAAAGTCATAGTTTGTCTTAATGATTTATATTTTTTCAACTTCAATTTTTTTTATTTGAATGTTTTGAGTATTTTTGTAATTAGTGATATATTGGCATTGAATAATAAAAAAAATGTTATTCCAATAAAATAAAGAATAATACTTAAAAATAATTCTTATTATGTATCTCTACTTTATAATGAATGATATGTGGATGCTCTATATCAATTATTCTTTCTTTTAAAAGTTGAATCATGGACTTTACGTGGAATTCTAAATTTCCATAGCAAGCTCTCTAAAGATAAAGAAGAGACAGATATAAAGTATAAATTTACATGATTCCTAAAAAACTTGATTGAAAACTAACAATTCAATTCAACTTTCAAAACCAAATTATCGATCTTTTTTTTTTCCTTGTAAAATTATTTGTTTTGAATAATATAAAACTCGTTTCACATATTCATTCTTCAACCAAATATTTCTCTTTTAAGATTAACCTTACATTACTTAAACGATTCAAGCAATCAATAAAATTTCAAATCATACCTAATTGAAGCCTCTTTAAGCTATATACATATATATAAGAAAAATGAGTTTTAAAACTGAAGATCCTACATATTAAGAAATAAATTATGTTGTCCTAATCCATTTAACCCAAAGTGTTTTAATAGGTAACATCTATCTTCAATTTAAAATTTTCAACCCCTAAAATATTTTCTCAAACATTCAACACTATTTTAAGAGTCACATAATGAAGCCAAACCCAAGAGTTCTCTTAATCATATAGATTACGGATAAGCTATCTGTAAATCCTTATTCATGTTAAAAATTTATTAAATCCTAAAATGTACTCTTTTATTAGAATATATACTATCCTAATTCATGTAATGAACTCTTCTAATCCTCCTAGGCGCAAAAATGTTTTAAATAAATTTTTCAATCTATGTCATAAAGATAAGTATTTGCATGAACAACATTCAGACGACACAGCTAAATTTATAAGAATAACCTTTGCATCTATTAATAAATATAATATTTTCTACAATTATAATCTATTCTTTATCTTTATAATGAAGGTTCTCTACATCTGAGAAGATCTTAGATTCTTAGCTAAAGACAAACTTAGATAAGTCACGTAGAGAGAGAGATGATATGTTATACTTAATTAACTTTATTGTACAGTTCAACAACTTTGTACCTCTCCTACATTGATTAAATAATTTTTAAAATTTTTACCCTTAATCTATATGAAACTAGAGAATTATAAATATTTCTAAATTCTTCTCTAAAATAAAAGAATAAAAAAAAATCTCTCTTTTTTTTAGAGTGCCTCAAAATAGAAAAAACGGGTAGAGTAGGTGGTGAATTGAAAGGAGGACTTATTAGATGAGAGACGGAAGAAGGCATCATATGAGTGTTGTGTTGAGGATTAATCGTAGGGGAATATAAAAGAAGAAAGAATTTACCTAAGTAGTGTCATTTCACTACAATCTTGTACTAGTAGCTTTAGCTATTTATTTTAAATATGGAGGGGTCAACAAAAATAAGAATGAAGGAGACAAGTTCTTTGTAATCAGATTATGAAATTGTTATACATGGTGTTATAATGGAGGTTGGAAGTAATAGTATATATAAGAAAGTTGAGACTCCTAAAATGTGATTTGACAAGTGATTTTTTGCAGCATTGATCTTAAATAATATACATATTATAATTGTTAAAATACCTAAAGAAGACTCATGACTATTTTTTTTTTTGTCATTATTATATGACTTAACTCAAGAAAAATCACGACATCAAATTTTTTAGATTTTCGTGGTTATGTTTAAAATTAAATAATTATTACATAGCGTAAACATGTAAATTACATGGATAAGAATGACTAATTAAGGAGAAGCTTTGAAAGTGTTTGACCAGAATTCGAGATGAAGAGACACTTAATGGAGTAGGTTAATATTTGTTTCCAACATAAGACTATGTTTGTGTTTTTCACATTTGTTTATGTTATGATGTGCATGAAGCTGTGATTAACTGTATAATTTCAAATGTATCCAAGAATGATTTTGTTTGACAAAATCTCAATCTCAATTTATGTAAACCTTCATAATGGCACCGTAAGAAAATTTTTCAACTATGACTTGAATTTTTTTTTTAAATGTTGAGTTTGTGAAACTTAAGAGGAAATAATATAAAACTAAGTATAAAGAATGAAATGATAAACAAAAAGTATATAATAGCAAGAGTTTTTTATTAAGACTAGAGGGTTTAAACCCCAAACATCATTAAAGAGTAGCTCCAATGGCTTCTTGCTAGTTAATGTGGAAGTGTCCAAAAGACATCTTACTTTTATGACATTAACATTGTGTAAAAGTTGAAAGTTTGAGTGAAAGAGGAATTAAACTTATGGAGTTTAAATGATTAAAGGTAAATTAAGAACATTTATTAGACATAATGGTTAAAATAAAGATTACATTATTAACAATTGGCTTATGAGAAGTAGTATTGAATCTACCAATCAAGAATAAGAATCTACAAGAAATGACAATTCATAATTAATTGGTAGTTTATGTAACAATAATATTTTCTGACAATATACTTTTTTCTATCACATATTTGACAAATAATAATTTTAGGCACAATATAAGAAAATTAGAATAAGGTGAGTCTTTCTGAGATGTATTGGTTATCTTATTATAAAGATTAATATCGTCAGGATTTTGATTGAGAATTTAAACCAAATTTATTGTCAGTTAGTTGATTGTAATTGAATGAGAATCCTCAATAACTAATTAATTATAGAGGAAGTCATTTTTAATTCAACAATTTTATAACGTTTAATGACAGTACCACTAGTTAATGGTAAATTATTTGAAATTAAAATTAATTTTATCGAATTATAATAAGAGCACGATATTACTATTAGAAAGATGAATAAGTTCCACAAAATAAATTTTCTGAATTTTTAAGAGATTTACATAGAAAAAGAGGAAACTTCGGTTTCATTATTGAATTTCGAAAGAGATTTAGAGGAAAAAAAAAAAAAAAAGCCCCGAAGTACCATTAAAAAGAGTATAAATTTTAAAAGTAGAAAAAATTACGAAGTGTGATTATAAAAAAAAGTATTATTTGTTGTTTTGACTTTAAAGAAAAGATTCTTAGATATTATAATAAATTAATGTCTTAATTGCTGTAACATAAACATAAACAAGCATTAATTAAAACATAAACGTTTAACGTTAATAAACAGAGATTCTCCTCTTAAATACTTGTAACGGATTTTTTTTTTTTATATATAAAAAAAGTGAAATTAAGGAAATAAATTCAATTTTGGGTACAAATATAATTCTCTCTTCATAATCTCACGCTGTTACTTTTTCATGATCTGATTGGGAATTATGATACGTTATCATTCTTTCTTTTTTTTTTAAAAAAAAAGGCAAGCACATTTAACACAAGAGATTTAAATAGACATGTGCAAGAAAAAGAAATTATTAATTATTTTTTAATAAAAAATTAATTAAAAAGCCGGCATTAATAATCCAACAATTTAAGGCAGAGGCATAGGTTTTAGGGCAACCCCCAAATCCCAATTAACCATTCTAATAGTGACAACTGTTTCTCTCCTTCCACAAACCTTGGAACAACACTATCTATACTAACACGTGGGTTCTTTATTTAACCCACCCGCGCATTTTAGAAATGGTCCGTCACTTTGATTGCCGAAAACGCTTCGTTTTTGCTATAATGCACCGCGTGTTAGTTCAACCTCTCTCTCTCTCTCTCTCTCTCTCTCTCTCTCACTTGTCTTTCTGGGAAATTTCTCTTTTAAGTGGCGAGAAATATTACGAAATTAAGGTAGAGAAAAAGGGAAACAAATTTCTCGCTCCACAGAGAGAGAGAGAGAGAGAAGCGTATATATAATTTAATATTTTATTTGTAGGTTTTTCTTTTTGAGCTTTGAAGCTGCAGGTTTTTGGAGTATTGTGTCGGGTGTGTCTGATTTGAAATTGTTTTTTTTTTCTTTTATTTATTTTTTAATGGGAAGGGGTCAATTTCTTTAATGGTAAGAAATTGTATGAATATTTTTTTTTCCTAAATGAGAGTGAGATCAGAGGAGGCTAGGATCTCTTGGGTCACCCTTATATACGTCGTTTGGAGGCTTTGCTGTCCATACAATTGCAAAACTCTGTGTTGATAGAAAACAAAGAGAACTCTTGTCTAGTCAGATCACGGAAAGCACTCGAATAATTCTAATGGGTAGGTGCTGTTTTGTTCTTTCGAAGGTTGTTTCCTCTGGGTTTGTTTCGTTTTTTTTTTTTTCTCTCAGGGTTTACTATAATGGTTTCGTGGGTAATGATTTTGTGTGTGAGAACGCCCGGGTTTGATTTTTCTGTCAAGTAATTGATTTATTTGTTTTAAGTTTTGGCTCTCTGTGTCCCATTTTGTAGGATTTGGAGTTAGTGGTTTTGTTTGTGTTTTTTTTCTTCTGAATCCTAAGTTTTCTTAGCTGAATCTATGTTATGGTACTTTCGCTTCGTTATACTTCTTATCCTCTATGGTTCTCTCTCTGTTTTAGTGGCTTGGTGGATGTGCTGGACACACGCACACAGAATGAAATTCCCTTTATATTAAATGGCGATATTGGCATATAGTTTGCTATGATTCTGGTGTTTCATTGGCTTTTTCTTGATTAGTTTCTTCCTCCTCTGTTTGACAGCTAAAATCCACCCCCTTGATGTTTGTGACAAGTCCCTTCTAAGAATTTATTCTTATGGTTCATGTGTTCCATGCTTATTTTCTTTTTCGTAAATTTTCCTTTGGTTGCACTACTGTATTTCACTGTCCCTTTTTCCATTTCTGTTGGCTGTTTGATTATCATCGCCTCCATTGATTTGTTTTAATTTTAATGGCTCCAGAGGTCAACATGAGCTTTTCACATGACATGGATGATGAATATGAGAAACTCATCAGAAGAATGAATCCCCCAAGGTTTGCAGTTTCTTCTTCTTTATCATAGTCATCTCACGTTATAAATGAAATAAAGAAGGAAGATAAAAAATAAAAGCCGAATTCTCACACGTCCATTTTCACTTACCTCCTTTTGCCAGGGTTGTTATTGATAATGATGCCTGCAAGAATGCTACTGTGATCAGGGTATGCCTTTGATTTGTTTCTTTTTTCATTCTTTGCTCTTTTACCATAAAAAATTTGGCCCTTTACTTGTTTCTTCTTTTTTTTTTAAAGAAAAAAAAAACAAAACTGGAACTTGCTGTACTTACCTCAGATGTTGATGTAGGTGGATAGTGCAAACAAACATGGAATTCTTCTGGAAGTTGTACAGATCCTTACAGATCTTAACCTCATCATTCTCAAAGCGTACATATCTTCGGATGGTGGCTGGTTCATGGATGGTAAGATTTTGTTTCTTTCTTCTTAAACTTTCTTGTTGTTTTCTACCAAGATGTAAAAGTTTCCAACTTTCTTCAATTGAGAAATAATCATGTCTATTTTCTTTACCAGTTTTTAACGTTACTGACCAAGATGGAAACAAGGTCACAGATGAAGGAGTTCTAGACTATATTCGAAAAGTAAGTCATAAGTTTTCTTGTTGATTTTGTTCTCAGCAGTTTCTTTAGTTGTTTATACATAGTCATCCAATTAATGGGTGTTTATCTGCAGAATTTAGGCCCAGAATCTTGCTTTTCATCTTGCTTGAGATCCGTTGGGGTTAAACCATCAATGGACCACACTGCAATTGAGTTGACGGGCTGTGACAGACCAGGACTGCTCTCAGAAGTGAGTGCTGTCCTCACCCACCTTAAATGCAATGTAGTAAATGCAGAGGTCTGGACGCACAACAGAAGAGCAGCCGCTGTGATGCAAGTGACCGATGAGAAAACTGGGGCTGCAATTACAGACCCAGAAAGGTTGGCTGGGATGAAGCAACTACTCTGCAATGTGCTGAAGGGAAGCAACAAATCTAGGGGAGCCAAGACTGTTGTTTCTCACGGGGCTACTCACACTGGGAGGAGGCTTCACCAGATGATGTTTGCAGATAGGGATTATGAACGAGCTGATGATGATGTCTCAGATGAGAAGCAGAGGCCTAATGTGAGTGTTGTTAATTGGTATGATAAAGACTATTCTGTTGTTACTATTAGAAGTAAGGATAGGCCGAAGCTTCTCTTCGATACAGTATGCACCTTGACAGATATGCAGTATGTAGTTTTCCATGCAAACATTGATGCTGAGGGGCCAGAAGCTTATCAGGTATGCTGTGCAAAAGTGACCTTTGGTTCATTTTGGTCTTCTCATGTTTGGTAAGTAATTCTTTGATGTTTTTGTAGGAATACTATATTAGGCACATAGATGGATCCCCTGTAAAATCAGATGCAGAAAGGCAAAGAGTGATACAATGTCTCGAAGCAGCGATTGAAAGGAGAGTATCTGAGGTGAGTGTTCAATCATATATGAAAACAAGCTTTTATTCACTTGTGTCTTTGTCCATGAAATTCCTTTAGTAATGTGATGGAATATACATCTGATAGTGATAACAAAAACCTTCAAGCCTCTCTTTGTATATATTTGAAGGGATTAATACATGATCATGGCTGTCATACTTTGTAATTTGCTGTCTCTTTTAAGAATATTAATTAGTTTGTTTGATCCTCATTCAGGGTTTGAAGCTTGAACTCTGCACAACAGACAGAATCGGTTTGCTATCGGATGTGACTCGCATCTTTAGAGAAAACAGCCTCACTGTCACAAGAGCAGAAGTGACAACCAAAGCAGGAAAAGCTGTAAATACATTCTATGTAAGTGGCGCCTCTGGTTGTCCTGTTGATACGAAGACCATAGAGTCCATCAGACAAGCAATTGGTAAGACAATACTGAAAGTGAAAGGCAGCCCTGAAGAGTTGAAACCAGGTTCCCACGAATCCCCAACCAGATTTCTCTTTGGTGGACTATTCAAGTCAAGATCTTTTGTCAACTTTGGTTTGGTCAGGTCCTATTCTTGAATGAGTTTCAGGTCAATCCCCTTCTGTTGTACATTAGTATGATGCCGGATGGGAAGTAAAAAATTTAGCAACCGTAGCCATTTCCGTAGAAGGTAGAGGAAACCATAGGGAGAATCCCAGAACACCTGTATATCCCACCTTACTTGCCATTCTCTTAACTTCTATATTTTCTTAATCCAATAGCAAAGTTGGAGCCGGGAAAGGAGAAGCATCCATAGTTTTTATGTAGTGATTGAACTATTAGCCTTTTATAACTCTTGTATATAATCAGGCTTTGTGTTGATTTATTATTGGGGTATCTTGTTTATTGCTCTCCTCTTGTTGCTACTGTTCTAAAAGTTCAATATTCTGCTAAACTTCTACCTTGAACATTTTTAATAATGTTGCTTGTGAGACTGGAAACTGTCTTTGACCATAAGTTTGGACTGGCATTCTTGAATTTGAAGAAACTGTTTCTTGATGATCTGATATGGCCAACTAACTTCCCAATTGTGGACAAAAACATAAAATAATTGGTGGGTGCCTCCATGTTGGATTGTGGCAGCTTCTGTGGTTGTTTAAAATGATCACTTAGGTTTTCTAGTCCACCAAGATCTTGGATATGAATCTTCACCATCCCTTTCAGATGGAGACAAGCATTAATAGAAGGATCTGGTTTGTGAAATCATCTTTAATTTGAATGACATCATTCACTTTTATTTTTAATATTCCTTCTTATCAAGATTCATTTGGTATATATATATGTATCTTAATTTTTATTTTCAAGTAAGTCAAAATGATAATAACCCAAATGATGGGTTAAAGTTTTCTTAATTTTTTCCATACCACTACAATTAATCAAAAACCAAATCCTTCCTAATCAAATCAAAATCTGTTCTACTGAGTCTCTTTTGACCAAAACAAAAAAAAAGGAAAAGGCTAGAAAAGGAAAGATGGGAAGGATGGGAGAGGAAGGCTTTTGGTTCCCATTTTCTTATCCACTTTCTTTTTGGGTGTTGGAGCATTACCAATTTGATAAACACTACCATTATTGGTGGATTATTAACAACACTTGTTGCCACATGGCAGTGTTTAATTTGCATAGGAGGTGGTAGATGATGTTAAAAATCAAGATTGGTAATTGAATCCAGAAAGAAAAGAAGCAGTCTAGTTGCACAAATAATTATTCACCAGAAATTAGGTGATGGTTTTTATAATAGGTATAAGCACAAGTAACCAACACTACCAATACTTGATACTTGTGTCTTGTGATACTCTCTCAATATTTCTAACATCTCAAAGTATTGGATGAAGAATTGTCATATATATATGTATGGTATTGATGCCAGAAATGGGTGTCAACAATTTGTTTAACAATATATAAGCACTTATTTTAGCATCTTGGTAATAACACCACAGCAAAAATAGGAGTTTCCGCCGCAGTTTTTTTGACATTTTACAGCGGTTATCCGTGTCCTTAAACCATGCTGCAGGTAATAGCAATCCCCGCGTGACGGTATTTGTATCTAATATGTCTGTAATCTTTTAGAACTTTTGCAAAATGTTATGCTAAACTTTAAAAAATTTGCAATGCTTTTCGCACAGTTATAAACCGTTCCAAAATATACAATACACTCTCAAATTAATTGTTTATATTTTTATTTATTTCTATGTCAAAGTATAGTTTTAAAGATCTAATTCAATAATATAACATAATAATCCATCTTTTACTATTATAAAAGATATTCATTTAAGTTCACAAACGAAAAATGTAAATAAAATCATTCACAAAAACATGATCATCAAAATATAATATTAAAATTCAATTCCACACATCTTTTACTATAATAAAAACATTTATTTAAGTTCACAAAATAAAAATGTAAATAAAATCATTTATAAAAACATCTTTCAAGTAATTTTCGTACATATCATTTTATTGATGATTGGATCATAATTTATATCTATTTTAGAATTTATAATTTTTCTGAAAAAGAAAAGTAACTGTTAAGTTAATATGACAACTTTTGACAATCAAATAAAATTTTAGGTGTATGTATTGTTCAATTGGAATATTCCACTAATTAAAGCATAGTTCGAAATTGTATTTTTTGATTATTTCATTTATGTATATATACCATTCACAATGATCATGTAAATCTCAATTACGTATATAAAAATTGAATTACCTGATAAACTATCACTTGAGATAATATATTATAACGATAGTGAACAACATTTATGTTTTTAATTGTATATAGAATATTTAAAAATCTATTAGTTATATAATTAGAATAAATGAAAATCTTATATAAAGATAATAAAATATTTAAGAAGTAACTTATGCCTAGCATAACGCTGATAATTAAAAGTTGTTCAGTGTAAACTACTTAATAAGTAACGTATATGTAGTGTTTGCCCCAAATAGAATAAGTATAACTACTAAAATTTATTATTTCAGTTAGTTGTTTGAGGATAAAAAACTAAATTATATAACTCTCCTCCATTTATGACATTAAATATTAAACAAATCAGCTAAAATTTGCATTAAAATCTATGAATTAGTTACATAACTATTAAGATCGTTGTTTCAACCCTAAACTTATCACATAATATTTTTGTTGTAACCAAGTTTTTTGTTTTTGGACTTGATAGCTATGGTCCAAGGAGTCATGTCTTATACCTTCCAAAACCTAGTACACTTTCACTTTTATTTTATTTTTTTATAAAAATATCTTATTTACATATTTGGGTGCATATGATTGAAGCAAATATATTGCATTTTATCCAATCCTCGTTCCTTTATTATTATGGAAGTGCTAAGGAAGAGAGTTGAAATGAACCAACCAACATTATTTTATCAAGAAACTTCATAAACAATTACATATGTCCACTTAATAATTATATATTTAAATGCAACTTCAAACTCCAATTAACATAAGGTTAAACAAATAATTAAATTGAATAAATTATAATAAATAAATGCAACACAAAACATGCAATGTATATATACACGTATATAATGAGCACAAAATCAAAACTTCAAAGATCCAAACTCCTTTGTTTTCTCTACTTCTTGCTCTCAAATTTCCTAAAAAATCCCTAAAATTTTTTCTAGATCATTACTTTATGTAAACCTAAAACTTATGTGTAGTTCAGTCTTATAAAAACTTACTCTCCCTTAACTCTTTTCACTCTCAATCTTAGTCTCGACTCCTTTCATCTCATGCTCCCTTTTATCTCCTAGCTCTTCTTTTTCTGTATCTTTTTTTTTTTGCTCTTTTTACGCTTTTTTTTTTCAAGATGTCGATATCTTGAGTAAAAATATATGTTTAGACAAATTTAAATGAGATAGGTGAAATATAAATCTCTACCTGAATGAGAAGTAGAGAGAGAGAGAAACAATTTTTTAAAAGAACTTGCATGTGTTAAAGCAAAATGAGAGATTTGGTTCTTGAGAATGTCAAGCAAAATGTGACAGAGTAAAATTTAGTCCGTGCATGATTGAAAGTCGAAACTTTGGTTGTTTAGAGGAGGAGGGTAAAGTGAATAGAGAGTAATCTAAAATTTTTTAATCGTAAAATTTACGTTACAACAGTTGAAAGAAAAAAATTTATAACAGCAGTAAGATATGTATTTCATAAATTGCTGCAGCTAATTTACTATAAATTTCTATTTTTTCTGTAGTGAAATAAACATATATATGACTAATAAGCTATTCAAATAGGTTATACAATTCAAAAGTTTAAGAATTCAACTTAAATTATTAAATATTAAATCTATACATAATTCATTATTCTCAAGCCAAGACACTCAAATAATAATACAATTATTCTTTTGAGTTTACAAAGAGAAAACACTAAATAACTCGTAACTTTGTAATTAAGTTGAACAAACTAGCTTAACAATTGCCTGACTCCCTATATACAATCATTCTTTTGAATTTGTAAGAAGAACATGCAACTTTTTAAATAATTAAAAAATCAAACTAATTGAACCAAACATGATTATACACTATTAATAAAAGTATATTAAGTATACAACAAATCTAATATAATAATTAGATAATTTCAACGATTTTCTCAAAATATTTAAAATGAGAACTCATTTAATTCTAAACAAATCAAAATATTTTATGAATTACTTGACAAAAATAGTACACAATATTTAAATTTTATAAGTTTAAAAATAAATAATTTTCTTCTGTTTTGAAGTAAAAAAATGTTCCCCAAAATAGAAAGTTTATATTTTCAATTGGCAAGATTAGAACATTATTTAAACTGTGAGTTTTAAAATAAACGCAGAAACAACTTTTATTCTCGTTAAAGTAAATAAGTTTGTCTAAGTACCTTAATTTCTCAACAACTTCATTAAAAATAAACTTAATTTTCTACTTAAAGAATAATAAAAGGAGAGATAATAAGTATTTAAATGGATCTAAATAATTAGTAAACACAATTAAAAACTAATAAATAATTGAATAATTTATTAAAATTTATAATACTTATTAAAATATCACAGAATAATGGAATAGGTAAATAAATACTTTAATGGAATTTAAAATTCAAAGAAGTCACTAAAGATGTCGAGACCTTATTTAAAATCTAAAACATATCAATAAACATATAAAGAAAAGTTGTATACATTCTCAAAATTTCAGCCATTAATATTATATAAGTTATCACTCTAAAATTAGCAATTAAAATTATAGAATAAGAATTTTTGACATTAACCGTGCGGCTCACTTTAGATATTTAATTCTCTAAGAATCGATAAAGATAAAAATTAATTTTTACATACCTAAAACATAAAACATAAAGTTACTATTTAAAAGATAAAATATATCAACAAATTGTTAAAAGAAAGTTAGAAGTTCAAAATTACTAAAACATGAACTAAAAAATTGAATAGTGTTCTATAATTTATTTTTTAAATTTTATATAAATCATACTATAAAGTTTAGAAGAAAGAGGCATGCATAATAATACACGAAAAGGACACATGTTGAATAGAAAGGGAGAAAGTAAAAGGAAAAAGATGTTATAGGATTGAAAAATAATATCAAACAAAAATATGTAGAGATATATATATGTAGATATATATATATATATATATATATACGCACGTGATGAATATACTATATTATCGTGTCTCACATTATCCTTTGACTTCACATCCAAAAACATGTTTCTCCATTTTTATCAAGGAAAAGAAAATATATTTAGCACCAAATACGTAAGTATGATATGATATTATATTAGCACATGTTTAATTTTATTTTAGTTTTAATATTATATATATTTTTTCTATATATTGCCTTGTGTAGTCTACGTATATCGTTCGTCGGGTCGGGGCAGAAGCTTCTGGATTTAACCGGTCCACAAGACCCGTGGCAGTTTAGAAGGGCATTTAAGTAAATTGGAACAAAAATTGTTGACACTAACATGTTGACAGATGAAGCTTAGAAACTGTAGAAGCCAAACTTCGCGTATTACTATATTTTTTCTCCCAATACTACCACTACTCTCTCTATGCTTACATTTACAGCCTACTACAACGTTGACCCATGACGAATCACGGACCAATAATCCGCGTTTCCCGTTCTACTCCTTGATTCGTCGTCTGTGCAATCACGTTCACATTCACCGGTTTCCTATCCCTCTGTATTTTAATTTGTTTTGTTAATTTACGAATTATATGTTTCCTGTTGTACCAAAATTTAGTATTTCAAAATCAAAGTTTCGAAATACCCCTCACTTGCGCCACCAATGCCTCGCCCTGTTTACTTTCTTTGATTGAATTGAGAAATTTTTGGTGGAGAGGTAATTCTAGTCTTCCCAGTTTCTATTCTGTATTTGATATTTGGGAGATGACTTATAGGTTCTTGTTATAGTTTGCATGAATTGTGTTGTGTTGTTATGTTTTCTTTTGCTTTACTTTCTTTTTCATTTCTCACTGGTTGATTCTGCGATTAGAATTAGGGTTTGATAGTTGTTCGCGGAAGATTATGGTTTTTCTTCTTATGGTGAATTATGCTCTTCCCTTTTTGGTAAAAGACAGATTTTCGAATTTCCTTTTTAATTTGTTAAGTTTGGATGACCATCTCTATTAGGGTTTGTAGTTGAGGAAACGTCAAAATCACATTAAATCAGGTGACAGAGGCCGAGGAAGAGGCTCTGGAACTGAGAGCGACGAAGTAGGGGATTAGAGGGCCGAGAGAGGAGACGGGCTGATTCTCTGATAAGGACTAAAGGAAAGGGCAGAAGAATTGGGGGGAGGGGGGGCGCACTGGTTTTATTAGAGAGGAGATTGAGAGAGAGCACGAATCCTACCTGGTTCTGTTGGAGAAGACAAGGGGAAGAGTCGAGACTTAGGAGAAGCATTGGAGAGAAAGAGCAGCAGAGGAAAGAAGGAGAAAGGGAAGGTGGATCAGCTTTCCAGAAGCCTCTGGAAATCGGATGAAACTTCTGATTCTCTCAGATTCCAGAAAAAAGAGAAGCTTGGATAAAGAGCTGAAGAGAAGAACTTTCAACACTGGATTGATTGAGTCATCTGGTTGGAAGCTGATCTTATATAGGTGAGCATTTACTTGCTATTTCATGTAATCACTCTTACCATAAAGTGACTTCGGATATTTGATTGCATGGTGGTGAAACTGTATGCATTTGATTCCTATGACTGGTTTTGAGAAAAATGTAAGTTGAGATTGTTCATGAGGTTATTTGCGACATAAAGACAGTATTTTTGGGTTTTAGTTGAACAATGTTGGAGAAAATGCTTGATATTTGATCCACGTGATATATTATGAAATGCAAGATATTGGATATGCACGTCTGTTGGGTTATTTCCATTCATTCATGCTGTATCTAAATTCTTTTTCCTCATCGGGAAGAAGGAATGAAATTTATATTTGATACATGTGAATAGCTTCCAAATTAATATATTTTATATTGAAGTTGAATAATTATTGCTTAGATGGTTTGGAGTAATTGAGTGTGGTTTAAGATTTTCAGAATCAGTGCACATTTTGTTAGAATTTTTTATTTTGGGTTGCAATACGTTAATTACCCATATGCTTATTTATTTTTTTCATTAAAATTTGCTTAGTTCTTATTTAACAGCAAGTGATATGTAATACTGTAAATTTGAGTCTTTTGGTTTTACAGTTGGTTTGCACCTTCGGTTAAGGCTATAGTTAAAGTGTTGAGTTTAGATTAACCGAACAATTATCTTATGAATTTTCTAATTTTTTTTTCCTTTTTCCTTTTAACATGGGATTTTTTGAGCAATTTCTGAACTAACTCATTGATCATGGAAGTTTCATGGAGGAATAGGAGCTGTGAGATGCAAAGACTAGGAGATCAACCCCTTTTTTAATTCTATTTTTAGCTGGTTGTATTTGGTTCTCCTTTTTCCTGTCTTGTTTTGTAAATATTGACATTTGATACCTTTTTATTGGATTTAGTGTGGATACCACATGCGTAGATGAAGTGTAATTAGGAGGCAACCACAAATACACAAAAGTATTAATATGATTAGCCTCTACCACTAGGATGGGTGTCTCACACTTTCCATCCTAGTTCATTCACGAACTTAGAATGCAATTATGAATAGTATCGTCTATATGCGTATGGACCTGTCTCTCATAGAGTTAGTGGTGATTTCATTTCAACATTGTTAGGTATCATCAATTACTTTAATTTTTGGGGTGCCTTGCCATCGCCTTGGTCATGACAATTGCAAAGAATTTATTAGCTCAAAATTTGATTAATAAATTATAAATCATAAATCATAAATCTATTAAGTATAAAATTACTGTATTATTTAGGAGTCTATTTTTATAGTTTAGTAACTAACATTTTATTCTTATTTTTACTAAGTTTTCCTACTCGTATTTGCAGTATTATTTCTTATGTTTGTTAGTACTAGTTTTACTTTGTTTGATCCTATTTGGTACATGCTTACTTAGAAAGTATCATAAATATCTTCGTAATTTCACTTTTTAGGACAGAAGTATGTCATTTAATGAAATATTTTAAGTTTTTCAATTTCTTGCCATTTATTTAAGACTTTTTAGATATATTGTCCTCTGAAACTCTAGGGGCCATGTGTAGCTTTTTTTTTTCCGTCAGTAAATCCCTTGGTAGGAAAATTAATCCTAATTTGCATTATATCAGTTGGTATCAAGGTTAAAACAATACTACATCCAAAACCTTAAAACTCCAGATCCAAACAGCTTCACCATCTAAAGCCCCCACAACAAATGAAAATTGTATATACAGAAAACCTAAAACCGCTCCCATTGTTCACTAGCCACAATCAGGCAGTGAGTGACACTGCCCCTACTACCAGCATCAAAAGAGCCCAATCAGCAAAACTCGAAAGCCCCGTTGCGAGAAATTATGCCACCACTGCAGGTTCTTCAGCCACTGCCTCACTCTCTCATCTTTATCGGTAACTGTATCTCACACTACCACCTGATTTGCAACCACCCTCACAAGTCAATTCTACTATTGGAACCTCTACTCCCTTTGGTGACTGTGCCCGGTGCATGGACAGGGTGCACAATCTTTGTGTGGGCATTGTAAAATGTGCTCTGTTTGACTTTTTAACTAGGTTTGACCATATTGGTTTACTCAGAATGGTTTTCACTTAGTAGATTTATTTTCAGGTAATTCTACACAATTCCCAGGGTTTTTTGCCTGTTCCTTTTTTTTTCTTTTTTCTTTTTGCAATCATCTTTACAAATGTTGTGTAAAGTGAAGGAAAATTGGAAACATTCTCCAATTTCGCTAGCCCATTGCGGAAATAAAAGTTAGAAAGTTTTCATTCATGAGGATTGTTGCAAGAACCTTGTTCCAATCTTTACAATTGAGTGACTCAATCTATCTGCAATTGCATCCCCAACCATATAGACTAGTTTGGTAGGATGATAAAAGTTATTTTGGTGACTCATCAAGGTCTTGTTTCTATTCATCATGGTACCTATCATAGCAATTCAATCTTGTGCAACGTTGTTCCATTAATATTCATACATATTCTTTTAGGTCGAGCATGGCTTTGTAATTGATATGCTCCGCACGATGAGACTAGAAATATTATCACTTTGTGCCTGGCATAAAGAATGTAATTTTAGAATCTGAGTACAAACTAGATAAGTAAATACAAATGTCCAAAATGCCTAAAGTCGATGACTAAGGTAAAGAGCAGGAGCTCGTTGAAGTTGAGAAAGGAAAAAAAATCCTCGAGACCTTTCACTACCTAAGGAGAGTTTTATGGAAGTTTAGTGCTAGGTAGAAGTAAGCCAAATAAAGAATCTATTGATGTTCAGCTCAAGGATTAAGTTGAAGCACAAATTGGTCAATATGTTGATCTCATACTACCATCAGGATTTCATTTTCTTAAACATTTATATGCTTCAATTATATTGTCACTGAAAAGAATCGTCAAGCACAGAGAAGTTTTCATGAGGAAGTTCGAAGATCAATGTTTTATGTCAGTTGCACTTTAATACTCGTGGATGAGTTTTATACAACTAGTAGAGAATGATGCAGAATAAATTAGCACTATATTATCTAAATAGGTTAAAAATTATAATACTATTAAATTATAAAATTATAAGTGAAGTTTTCATGGCGAAGTTCGATGACCAATGTTTTACATCATTGGCCACTTTAATACTCATGGACGAGTTTAATACAACTAGTAGAGAATGATGCGGAATAGATTAGCTCTATATTGTCTAAATAGATTAAAATTATAGTACTATTAAATTATAAAATTATGTACAACTCTAAGGTATTATTATAGTTTTAGTAACTTTATAATTTTATATTTATTATTTAAAAAAGAGGATTTTATTTTTCTTAGTATTTAGCTGTCCTATTTCTTAGTATTCTATTAGTATTACTATTTTTCAGATGAATCCTATGTGGTAATGGTTACTTTTGGAAGCATCATAGATATTTTTGTAATTTCAATTTTTGGGATAGATTTTAGTTATTTCATAAAACATTTTGAGAGATTAATAATTTGTCGGTTGGGTAATGTAACCAAACCTTTAAGTGAAATCCTTAAAACTTTTTTGATATGATGTCTAAGATCCCTGGTTTGGATTTTTCTTCCCCCAAATCCTAAGTAGGCAAGTTAATCTTAATTTATGATGTCTAAGAGGTTTATATACTATTTATTTATTATCAGGGGAATGAGAGATCAAACTTCGAGTGAATTTTCACTTCCTTCTTGCTAGGACTAGGATATTCTGTGCTCATTGCAAGAAAGGAGTGTTTTGAAATTCTCTTGATAACGTGCAAGTTGTCATTGTTATTTTCATTATTATTTATTTCTGGGATTCGTTTGTATACTAGGTTGTCATTTGATATTTAACTTTTGTGGTGGTAAAACTTACCTTTATTGATTACTCAATTTCTCTTTTGATACTTGTCATTCAAAATGCAGAAGTAAACAGGTGGGGACGGAATCATGAGAGAAGATTTTCAACTTAGAGCTTGTTCTGGGAAAAGAGTTCCAAAGAGTTGTAATGTAAAAGGAAATAATGATAATAATGTCCCTATTGACATTGACAGTGATGAATTGGATGATGTTGTCATTATTGATGCTCCTGATTCTTTAAGACAAAATTTTGAAGGTTCTAGTGTATTGAGACGAAGAGAAAAATTTCCATTGCGGGGCATTATTAGCATTGACGATGATGAAACAACTAACATGGATGAACCTTGTATTGACATGGCTGACTGTGGTGGTGACTTGGATAGTGATGCCTCCTCAAGTAGAAGTTGTCATGCTGCTGAATATATGTGGAAATCTGTGGACTCAACTGATGATGAATGCCAAGTTGTCCACGAAAAGAAACCTGCATTCAATTTCTCAAGGTGCAAACAGACTTACTCTAGAACTGCTCCCTCAAGAAACCTACAAAACCACTATGGTTTAAATTCGGAGTCAGAGAGCGGTTCTTCAGGAAGTGATTGTTCTGATTGTGAACTTATGGAGGGTTCTCTCGGAAAACTTCGTGAACAGTGGGAAAAAGCTTCTATGAGGAGGAAATGTAACTCTGGTTTCGAGGATGAGGCTAGTCCTTCTGGCTCCCATAATGGTACTAATGGAAATGTTGCAGAAGATAATAGGACCCCATCTGTTTGCTCTGATTCAAGCAATGGCAACGTCCAGATGGGAAGTGCATCTGCTTTCCCTGCAACTGGTAATGGTGACTTGGCTGAAGTGTCATTCAGTCCTGAAATGGAGAGTGTCTTTGTGGGAACTTCTCAGAAATTAAACGGTGAAAGTTATCCTGGGTTAAGATCAGATTCAACAGTGAGAACTCCATCTTCACAATGCAAGCAGAGTGCTCAATACAGAGAAGAGACATCTAATGAATATTCCCATGGTGGTGCTGCTTTTTATAATAAAGCAAGCTATCAACAGCCATCAGTTTGGTCTTACGGAGGACAACGGAGTGATAAAGAGTATAATACAAAATTTTGGTTTATGGATAAGGAGAAAAATGCTATGGGAAAAATGCATGCTGATAGCCAATATACTGGTGTTCAGAATGCAAATGCTTCGATGTGCAATGGCAAGTGTCCTTCTGAAAGACATGCTGATCATGAAAAAGTTCTCAAGAGGAAAGATGAAACCCCTGCAACCATTTTTCGCAATATCCATCTGAAAGAATCTGAACAAGGAACTGGTTTTAAAGGGAGAGGGAAAAGAGTATCTGGAGGACCTTTGGCATGTGATCCTCAATCTTCTGATGGTTTACATGGAAAAGATGGCTTATATGCTTCCATGAAGAAGGTTAGAGCTACCTTTGAAGAATCTTTCTTTTATAATAGGTCATTGTATTGTGTGTCAGATTGAAAAAATAAGAAATCTAGTTATAGTGATATGAATCAAACATATTTTGATGGAATGTCTTTGTCCAATGCCCAGAGCAAGCAAGGCATGCCACATTTAGAGGAAGAGCAAGAATTGTTGATTACTCCTTCGACATCTGCTGGTAATCCATATGATGATAGGGGTCAATTATGCATTCCAACTGGTGCTACCCCCTCTTCTGCAGAAGGAGATATAATCAATGACCGAGAAAAGCTCAAGGAGACTGATGAGTACAAGAGAGCTGTGGAAGAAGAATGGGCATCTAGGCAGAGACAGCTGCAAATCCAGGTTTGGTTAAAGTCCTTGGTCATTTTCATAAGGATTTGGTTTGATAGCTATCTATAGTAACTTGTAGACTGTCCTACCAAACTTATGAATTGTTCTCCTTGAAGATGGCTTTTTCTTACTATCATTTGTACGCCAGGTATAATAAGATCAGTTAGCTTACTTACATGCACTAAAGCATGGTTTACTATGTTAGCAATGATGTCTTATATGAATTACTGTCTTTCAGTTTCCTGTCCACTATGGTCTATTTTATAAGTGACTATGAAGAATCTATAAGAATCAAGAGCCATTTATAAGTCATTCCCATTGTATTTATATTCTAATGATTATTCTAGCAT